ACAGGTTGTGGGTCAGAGTCCTGTTTTATACACAGCCTGGCCATTGTTCATTTGTACATGAAGTCTTTCAATCTCAAAGACCAGAAAAGTGTCCAGCATAGAGTAAGAACTCAGTATTATTTATGAGTTGTTACGTGGATGGCAACTCAGAATGCGACATTGCCCCCACTGAAACAGAGCCTTCTTTCTTCTTCTTTACACACAACTTCTGCTTCCCTGTCTCTACTAGCTCCATTTTCCCACTCCCTCCTTACTGTAGGTAAGTTAGAGAGACTCTCCATAAGCTATTCTTTTTTCTCTCTACATTTTTCTTAGAAAACTCATCAACTTCTACAGCTCCAAATAACACTTCTAGGAAAGTGAATCCAAGACTCTTCTCTCTAGCACAGACCTCTGCTGACCTAGGGTCAACTGTTTGATTGACGTCTCCATGCTGACATGCTACCTGCATCTTAAAGTCCATCATTAGCCCCTTTCCCTGGGAATCCCTCTCTCTTCCTCCAGATTTTTCTATTTGGTTCTTCCTATGTGAGTTGCACTTGTGGCAAAAAGCACTACTAAAAGTGGTTTCTGATTCTGTGGGAGAATAAATCTGAGAATGGATGTGAGCAGAACAGAGGGAAAGAGAAAATGAAACACAGGCAACTGGTGGTGTTGGCAGGAAGAACGCCCCCTTGGGGTGCAAGAAGGGACTGTAACTCAAGCCATCTTGGGCTGGAGCTGGGGAAAATCATTCAATGTGGAAGATGTCAGCCTGGGACACCAGAATAATCTCCAAATGTGGGTCCCCCAACAACAAAAGCAACAGGACATTGGGAAGCACCTAAAGAAGCAGTCATTTTTGTAAAGGGGGTCAGTGGCAATGGGTTGGGGGCAGGAGTGGGTGGAGACATGGTAGGGGAGAAAAGGGAGGGGTGCCCAGCACTCCTTTTTCAGGTGGCAGAGGTGGTCTGGGAACAAGATCTCTGCATGAATGTCAGGCTGCAGCAACTTCTGCACTTGGCAAGGGGTCGTATTAAGAAAAGTTACTCAGAAAGAGATCTTAAAGCCAGGGCAGTACACAAAAGGGGGTCATTTTGGTTTTCTCATCTGCAACCCAGGACTTCCCAGCATTTTCTGAGGAAGGACTTGAATAGAGTTGATGTTCCCACAGTGGAAAAGTGACTGGGCTGCAGTTAGAAGAAGGAACGCCCTCCACCATCTCCCCTCCCACCCAAGACCTAGTGCAATCTAGGTAGGTCAAGTATCTCTTACAAATGGAAGCATCCAAGTTGAACTTTTCAAGCCTGTTGGTTCCTTTGTGATAGTTCTTTCCTTCTCACATTTCATCTTATACCTATTTTGTGGCACTTTATACGAAAATGTGGCCTAAACTTCTATAGGTTCTATTTTTTTAATATCTGCCCCTTTTTGGTTCACTTCCTGTATTGTAGCCTGGCTTCATGCCTCCTAAAAAGTTACTCACAATTAGGTTCCTAGCACCTGCTTTTCTGATTTTACATCTCTTCTTCAAGTTCATCCTACAAATTGCCCTGAGCCTCCTTGTCTTCCATTTGTCCCTCTTTTAATCTACTCTTTATACAACAATTGGATCCTTAAAAAATCTGCAGTTACAGAGAATGGAATGAATACCTGGATCCCACTAAAATGATTTCAACAAATCTTTAGAAGACCGAAAGCGTATGAAAGCACATCAAAGGTCAGAGAACGTGCAGGAGTCAGCTGTGGTGGAAGGAGCTGATCTGCTAGGCTCTGGGCTCAGAGTTGGCAGGCATGGGGAGCAGAGGGAGAGTCTATACTCGTACCCTGCCCCTATGTTCTCTTCCAAATCTGGAGCTCAAGCAATCCAACTTCAATCCCTGGAATAGGGGAACTTGGAGAGGGTCTTCTCCAAAAAATTAAATAAAATTCTGGATAGTGCTAAAGTTTCACTTATGGTATTGGTATCCCAGAGAGAACCATCCTTACTCTGGGATGTGAGTGCCCCACATTCCGATATAGCTTCTGTCAACTTTGTCTTGAGAGACTGAATATACAAATGGACACTGGCCAGACCATTCTAACCCATTATGTATGATAATTTTTTAGATAATGTAATGTAGTAATTCTGACCCATTATCTATAGTAACCAGTGCAGAAACCAGCCTACTATCTGTAAGTCGGACTTGTAGGAAGTCAGACCACTATCTCTAGCCTAGGAAGTCAAACAATAACCCCTGTAACAAGCAACTGAATGAGCACCTGTTAGAAAAGCTGACCAACTCCTGAGTAATAACTGCCAGCTTCCCTAATTTTTATCTCTGCTTCCAATTTAGGACCAACTTGAGAAAGCCAAAAACCAATCACAAAGGGTGCCCCTCTTCTAGTTAGCCCACCTGCAGCTTCCTCCTGCCAATCAGCCTCCCCTTGATTCCACTGTAAAGCTTTCCCACTCTTCTGCCTGCCTTTGAGTCTGCCAAAATGCAAGTGATGATCACTAAAACTTATAGATGAATGTGTTAATTACCCTGACTTGACCATCACACATTGTATATATGTATTGAAATATAACTCTGTACTCCATAAATATGTACAATCAATACATGCCAATTAAAATATAAATTTAAAAAATGCAAGCTCTGACTAAATAGCCTTTGCTTCTTTCTATTTGGGTGGTCTTTGTTTATTTCTGCACTCTGAGGCAAGGTCTTCCCATCAAAATACCCTCTCAGGTACTCAGAACTCCCCAACAACTTTGCTATTCAGGGGAAGGAGGACCCACACTATACAACTATGGAGGAAACCCAGACCAGCTAGCTAGAAAAGTCAACCTAGCCCCTCATTCTTTAATATGGAGAGACAGCCAAAGTCACCAGACTCAGAGAAAGCAAGCAACACACAGGAGAAGATCAAGAAAACAGAACAGATGGACCTTGGAGGAAATAGGTCAGAGACTAGAAACAATCTTTAAAATTTTGAATTAGATCTTTAGTGAGATTTGAGAAGATATTACATCCATAAAACAGAAATAGCACTATGAAAAATAACAAGGGAATAAAAAGCCTCCTGGAAATTAAAAGTGGATTGCCAAGATTAAAAATGATTGGAAGATTAAGTTGAAAAGTTAACAGAACTGAGAGTAAAAAGATAGTCTGAATGTGTGACAGAAATGACAAGCCACTTTTTGCAACTTTTTCATAACTAAATCCAGAAATGGTTAGAAAGTGGAAGCCTTGGGTAGGGGTCCCGGAGCAGAGAGGTGAGCTGGTTGGGGCTCTGTTGCTTTGGGTTAGAAATCCTTTGACCTCGGTGTTTTAACCACATGCACGGATCACTTTGATTGAAACAAAGTCTAACTACCAATCTGACAGTTCCACTCCACTACTTAAAACCCATCATTCATCCCAACCACATAAAGGGACAGAACTCAGTCTCTTTCCTGACCATGACCTGCCATGAACCAGCCCTCCTGCCCTCCCTCCACCCTCAGCTTCCGCTTCAGCCCTACTCAGCTACTACCGGGCTGTCCAGTGTAAGCCTTATGAGCTGGGACTGTGGGGTCAGGCTTAGCTGATTTCAAGTCTACTATATTTATAATGTCCTAATTTGAAAAATGATGATAATAAGAGTACCTGTCAAGGTTTTTGTGAGGATCAAATGAACTAACATATCTTACATACCTAGCAGAGCCTCTGGACATGCAATGAGTGATCAATAAATACTACCAGTTATTAGGGTTCCTTGAACTAGTCTTGTTTTGTTTACACTACTTTGGCTATTCTTTCATACCTAAAAGAACATATAAAAAAGTCATTTAACTCTCAGCTTTACTACCACGCACACAGCCACAGACACCTCAATTCTTATGAGATTTTACCCGCATGTGCTTTTGAAGCCACAATTTATTATCTTAAGAGCAATTGAAAGTCCTGCTACACAAGGTTCATACATTGGGGCTCCAGCTGGTTTCTGACTAGCACGTCCTTTCTCTTCTCAGTGAGCTGCCCTCCTTCACTGGGGCTCCAGCCTCGCCCTTGTGAGGCCCTCTCAGGACCCCCAGCCCAGCCCCTTCTTTGGAGACTTTCCATGAGCAGTTCTGTCCCCACTGCTACTGTCATCTGTTTCCAGCTCCAGATCCTAAGCACTGCACTTGGAAGGACTCTCTTCATTGGTGGTGTGACTCTGGTGTGACTCTGTGATAAGGTGTGCTCATGAATGAGCATGCTCGAGGTCGATACAGAAGGAAGGGAGCCAGCCGTGCAGGGCTTGCTAGCATCTGGAGAGAGTGAGCAACTGTTAGAAAAGCCGGCCAGCTCTTGAGTGCAGCCATGCTGGAACCCTTGCTTTGTTAAAGAAAAGGTAGGGGGAAGTCACCAGTGGGAGCTGGGCAGTTGCCGGGCTTCAGGGGCCTCAGTGCTCTGTCTCCAGCTCAATTCTGACACTCTGTCTCCTTTAGGACATGGCTCTGCCTGAGAAACACAAGCTACATCCTAGTCAGCAAGGGCACTGGGTTTTTTTTGTTTTTGTTTTTTTTTCCTTTTTTGTAAGTTAAATCATCTGGTCTAACTATCTCATTCATCTCAGAGAATAAAACCAAGACAATCTTACATGAAAGTCAAAGGAGTTGCCAGAAGTCATACAGAAAGTACAAACGCTGGATTAGAACCCAGGTTTCAAAAAGTCCAGTTTGTTGTGATTCTGGGGGTAAAAGAAGTTAGAAGGAAGAAGGAACACTGAAAGCAGTTGAGGGAAGGGAGCTGCTTCAATTCTGCTACCCAAAATAGAGCCAATGGTCTGGGTGCCCCCATCCCTTACCCTGGCTTTGGGTCTTTTGTATGGTGTATCGCTTATTTAAAAAGACTCCCATGAGAGAGGTGTTGTGAGGATGTGTGGCAGATAAGAAGTTAGTAATTATTAGGTAAGTAGCAACCTAACTTTGAAACTTTAGTGCAGCAAACAGGCTCCTCTCTGTGCACCTTGGATCCCTGCCCATACAGCTTAGACAGAGTGGGGCACACAGAAGAGGTCGACTGTCATTTTATTGGAGGCACCATTGCAGCAAGGGCTGTCACCACCAGCTCTGCCATGGAAGGGGGTGGGAGTGTACTGGACGAGGAGGGCCTGGAATCCCATCATAGCCCCCATCCCTAAAGGCAAGGGTGGGGCAGGTAACATTTGCAGCTTGGCCCCCAGCTGCCTCCCAGGACAGCTAAGGCACAGCAGAGCAGTGGAGGGGGCCTTCGACCAAATGTGCAGGGCTCAGGCAGCAGCCGCTGCAACCTTCATGTCCCACCCACCCCAGGCTGTGCTGCTCCTTTTAGGAAAGGCCTTGAGGCAGGAGGTGACCATGGGCTGGCCCAGCCCATAGCTGGTGGGAGAAGAAGGGGCTCTCAGAAAAGGAATGGCAGGAACAGAAAGAAGAGCAGGAGAGGGCAGGAGAGTTCCCAGGCTGGGGCAGGGCTGGCGAAGAGGCGGGCCACAGCGAGGTTGGGGTTGCCCCGAGCAGGCTCGAACCACTTCTGGAGACACCGCCCACTCTTCCGGCGCTCAGGGCTCGCCTTGAAGGATTTGTTCCAAATCTTCTCACACAGGTCTGCCGGGGTGGGGAAGTAATGGGGGAAAGGGAGGCAGGGGGCCTCTTCGGGGCAGCGGCTTTTCCCTGCAGGGGATTGAGGATGGACAACTTACCTCCCACATCCCCGTCACTTGTCCTGGGGGGACAGAGAGGATTTGCACCTGCACCCAGGTGGGGGCTCCTAAGGGACCTGCTTCCCCCTGGGTCCCATTAGCACCACTCACCCTGACTCCAGTCCCAGCTGCCAAACCAGTTGGATTTGCAGGTGTAAGACGAGTGGCAGTCTGTCCACCACCGCTCGCAGTCCTCCCGACACAGTGGCACATTCAAAACTCGCTCTTCCGGCCCACTCGGGCCCAGCTGGGTGCAGACGCAGCAAGAGGCAAGAGTGTTAATAGCAGCAACGTGAAGACTGTGAATAGCCACAGTGGGACTGGTGTCAGTTTCGTCTGTACGTCTTTATAAAGTCTCTAAGTACATCTTTTTTTTTTTTTTTTTTTTTTTTTTTAAAGATGACCGATAAGGGCTTAACCCTTGGCTTGGTGTTGTCAGCACCACGCTCACCCAGTGAGCAAACCGGCCATCCCCATATGGGATCCGAACCCGTGGCCTTGGTGTTATCAGCACCGCACTCTCCCCAGTGAGCCACAGGCTGGCACCTCTAAGTACATCTTTATAAAGTATCTAAGTGTTATTATTTTACAAATGAGAACAATGAGGCTAAGAGGTTAAATAGTCTGTCCCAGGCTATACAGCCACTAGGTATGGAAGATGGGATTCAAACTCAGGTCCCTGTGACTCCACCGGGCCTCCGTTGGTGATAATCCCTCATCCTACAGTTGTCATCTGCTCACTGTCCCCCATGCCGTTCTCCAGGGCCAGAGGCAGCTTCCCTGCCATCTTTCACCAACAGGGGCGTCTGGCTCTGCTCTTGTCCATAGGGGGACAGGATCTCCTGTTCCTATGAGCGTCCTAGAGATGCCAGCATGCAATCAAATGGGAGCTCCAGCTCTTAATCACAGGGCACTGCCTAGATCTGCCTCCTTCCTCCCAACCCCAGGTTTCCTACTGGCTGGATCCAAGGCCCCAGGTTTGGGGAGCACTGGTGGAAGCAGACGGCCTGGATGAAGTGCTGCTGACAGCTTGGGGTGGGCACTCCACAGTGAACCAAGCTGAAGTTGTAGAGCAGGGACACATCCAGGTGGGCTTCCCAGCTTGTGTGGAATGTGCAGCAGGCATTGTCCTTCCAGGGGCTGCACTGAGGCGGAGAAAGAGCAGAAGGCATGGGGAGTAAGAGGTAGGGGGTTGGCAAGTGTCCAGGGCAAAAAGGTGGCAGAATGAAAACGTCCCTGAAGAGAAGTCCTGAGCAAGTGGGATGGCTCTAGGCCAGCTCCCCCTGTGGTGGAGGAACCCTGATAATCTGTCAGTGTTCACCCAAGGGGTAGAAGGCACCCACATACTGAACTTCCTGCCAGCCTTTGTGGTCCTGAGAGGCAGCAGAGGCCTTGTGGGGGAAAGCAGGTCAAGAGAGGAGCCACAGCAAGACGCAGGGGAATCTAGGATTGCATTGGGTGGGAGAGACTCATAGGCAAAATGCCAGCTCGGCTCCTGCTCCCACATCTGTCAAGTGCCTTTGTGAGCTTGGGGACAGGTCGCTTAAGCTATACATTTCCCAGGGCCTGTTGGTAGGAAGGCTTGTTTCCATGTAGGCTGAACCAACAGTGGGCTGCTAGGATCACCACTTGGCCCTGCTCCCCAAGTGGCCGGAGCAGGTCATAGATGGGAACTTTGAACCACTTGGCTCATATGGTCTCAAACAAGCATAGTCTCCCTCCAGCTGCCTTTGCTCAAATCCCAACCTAAGGAACCAAATGATAAGGGTTGATGGGGGCCCAGAGACCATCTTTGGCATTTGTGTCCCTTCCCTGATCTGCCAAGGAAGTCCCCCTCCCTCCCCCAGGCCAGGTCTGGACTCTGTACCTCCACAAAGAGCTTGTTTTCTGGGCTGGGCTCTCTCTTGTGGTGTTTGGCCTTCATGCAGACATTGAGCAGCTCATCCCCAGCCCAGGTGGGCATGACTGTCCACAACCTTAGCAGGAGCTGCCACCACCGTGCCATGACCTGCTGCAGAGAGGAGACCCACGCTGCTCAGCCGATGGAGAGGACACCTGCTCTGTCCCTCCTCCACACCAGGCACTGAAGTGGGAGTATGGACTTCAAGTCTCCCTCAAGTGGCTGCAACACTCGGGCTGCTGCTGGGACCTTCCATCACAGGCAGCAGCATAGGATGTCAGGGCAGGTGGAATAATCCTTAGAGCTCTGACAGCCCTGCCCCCAACCATTATATAGATGCAGAAAGTGAAGCCCAGGGAGGGGAAGAGACTAAGGGGTCTCCCCTGAGGGTCAGAGGGAGAATGGTTCCAGCCTTCCTGGGAGAACTTTTAATAGCCCTTCTCCACTTGGAGGCAGCCTTTCTAACTCAATGACGTATAGGCTGGGAATTCAGAGCTTTGATCTTGGCCCCCATCAAGTTCCCAGATGCTGGCTGAGTAACTGAACAAATGCTCATTCGCCAGGTTCTCCATGGGGCCAAAGGGCATGTGGGACTGGGTAGTGTGGCCAATGCAGTCCTTATCCTGCAGAGTGCCAACCCTAACTCCCCTCTAGAAGGGATCCAAGCAAGGCCACAGATCCTCAGAGCAGCTTGTCCCCTCTGCCAGAGTCCTTTCCTGTAAGCAGTAGTTTTGCTTCTACCAGCCTCAACCTATTGGAGTGAGTAGGACTGAAGCCATGTTGGGACCTAAAACCACAAGGGCCCTAAAAGATTTTGGAAAAAATAGGGTTTTTTTTCTTGGCACACATTTTTCTCTGTTCCCTCTTTGCTCATGGTTATTTGATATTTTGAATCTCTTGATTATAGGACAAGATAACATTATTTACATGAAGGTAAATTTGTTTCCAGCCAGCCTGAAGCTGCGGACTTGCACATACTACCCAGACCCTCAGATAATGGTGAAGACAGGAGCAGAAACCAGAGGAGGCCTTGGCGAGACCTTGCACTTGACTTATAGACACGGACCCCTTGTATCTTATGTGCCCCTCCCTCCTGCTTCTTATTTCCCACGTTCCATTCCATCCTCCTCTTTAAGCACCTCTCAGTAAACCTGAGTCTTGGAGATGGCTTTAGCCTGGCCATTCTCCTTTGGGTTTGCTAGAGAGATGGGTTAGCCCAACATCTCTCCTCAGGTCACTGGTATTCCTGAATAAAAGCTGACTTTCATTTTCACCAACATTTGACTTTGATTTTTTTTTTCTGGGACCTGTGAGTTTGATATCAATTTGGGGGAGACTTAGCCAGGAGCTGAGGGTGCCCTGTACCAAACCCATCTCAAACCCATCCTGAGCGTGAGGCCGGGGCAGCCTTGCTGCCCTCTCAGAGCCAGGGGCATGCCCAGGCATCAGCCCTACATGAGGAACCCAGTCCCCATCACAGGACCAAGGAGGATGGCCTCTCCCTTGATGTTTGCTGAACACTATACGTCCAACACTGTTCTGCTTCTGCAAGTTAGTACTAGTGATGCAAGAGAGCTTAAAGAGAGACCAAAGGGGAAAAAAGGGCAGAGGAGCACCCTGACTCGAGCATCCCACCCCTTAGGAAACAGGGCCCCCTCTGCCTTCACCACCCAAGAGCCCATGGTTCCCCCCAGTCCCCCAGGCCAGCCCTGGACCCATCACGGTGAAACTGCAAACTTCTAGCCTAGCCAGAATTTAGAGCATCAAACATCCTGGGGATGGAGACCTCAGCTCCCGCCTTCAGAGCCCATTCTCTCTCTCTCTCCAGTTTCAAGCTCAGACATGGCCATTGAGTATTTTTAAAGAACCAGGTCCAGCAGGTGAAAAGAGGAAAGATGCTGCTGCCCACCCTCCAACCCCCCCCCCATTCTCTTCATACTCACTACTTTCAAGGCAGGAGCCCCCAGGAGCTTTCTCCCACCCTCAGAGACTTTGAGGCAGAGGAGAATTCCACAGTCCTGCCCATTTATCACCCAATCCAGCGTCTCCTAGGCCCAGGTGCAGGAGCAGAACTCCAGGTGGCTCGGGTTAAACAGCATCTGTCTTGCCCAGCCCTGCAGGCCTCCTGTGGGTTCCAAGGGAGTTTGCTTCCCCAGAGAAACAGAGACCCCATAGTGGGTAAGATCCAGGGTTGTTCAGTCAGCTACCGAGCTCAGTGCTCAGCTCTGCTACTCACCAGCTGGATGACCTTGAGAAAAGTACTTAAACTCACTCTCTATGTGTCAGTTTTCCCATCTGGAAAGGGAGTTGTTTTAATGGGATTTCTGGGAAAAGGAAAGTTCATGAAAATGACTTAGCTTTGCACCAAGCGTAGAGTAACTCTTAACGGTTTTAATTCTTTCTCTTTTTTTCCCTGAAGCCTCCTCACCCCTCCGCTTTCTCCTCCCCCTCCTCCTCTTTCCGTGTTCAGCTCTGCAGCTCACCTTGCCCCTTCATCAGCTCAGTTACCTGATGGTTTGGGTAATAGCATCCTCTCCCAGACCACAGGAGAGAGGGTTCCTGCTGGAGAGCAGACCCCACAGCACACAGGATGCAGAGATGAAATGTGGCCTTGGGAACCCAAGAATTTAAATGTATGACCAAAGCCAAAACAAACAAAAGTCCCTTCACGACCTACAAACTGGCCTACCTTAAGGAATGCCAAGAAACCTGGTAAAACTATCTTTTTGGGTGTCTATGAGGGTGTTTGCAGAAGAGATTAGCATGACAGCCTGTGTGGATTGGGGGGTAAGATCTACCCTCAATATTGGCAGGAACCATTCAATCCCCTGGGGGCCCAGAGAGAACAAAACTAGAGGAAAAAAAGGCAAATTTCTCTCTCTATCTGCTGGAGCTAGAATACACTCTGCTCTACTGTTTGTGGATATTAGAACTCGAGACTCTTCAGCTTTGGGTTCCAGGACTTACACCAACGGCATCATCGGCTTCTCTGCTGTGGACTTCAGACTTGGACTGAGCCACGCAGGCAGCATCCAGTTTGCAGACAGCCTGCGTCATAGGACTCTTCACAGTTACGTGAGCCACCTCACTTAATAATTCTCCTCTCATATTTATAACATAGCCTTTTTGTTCTGTCTCTCTGGAGAACCCTGACTTATACAGTCCTCCACTAAGGAGAGGCTGGAAACTTGGACAGGACTCTTAGGAGAGTCCCAAAGATGGTAAAAATGCTGGGAAATGAACATATGTCTTTCCTTGTTTTTTATGTTTCCTCTCCAAAGGAGAAGTAGTGGAAGTTATTGAAGTTTTCTTGATGTTACAGGGCACATGCAACTCCTAGCTGAGGCTCCCCAAAATTTGACATCAAACTCACAGGTCTGGCTACCTGTCCCCAGACAAAAGCAAACCACTCCAAAGTCAAATGTTGGTGAAAATGGAAGTCAGCTTTTTTCAGGAATACCAGTGACCTGAGGAGAGATGTGAGGCTAACCCATCTCTCCAGTAAACCTGAAGGAGAAGGATCAGGCTAAAGCCATCTCAAAGACTCAGGTTTACTGAGGGGTTTTTAAAAAGAGGGTTGAAGGAATGGAACTGGGAAAATGAAAAGCAGGAGAGAGGGGCACGCGAGCAGCAAGGGCTTCATGCAAGGTCTCAGGTGCAAAGTCTCACCAAGGCTCCGTCTGGTTTCTCCTCCCATCTTTGCTGTTATCTCAGGGTCTGGGTAGGATGTGCAAGTCTGTAGCTTCAGGCTGGCTGGAAAACTTTATATTCATGTGAAGAATGTCATTTTCTCCCACATCCAAGGTTCAAAATATCAAATAAACATGGGAAAACTTAGAGACATGAATGCCAAGGAAAAAAAACAAAAAAACCCGTCTTTTAAAAATTTGCTTATAGCTCATGCGGTTTCAGGTCCCAACATGGCTTTAGTTCTGCTCACCCCAACATTGATGCGTAGAAAATGAAAATAAAACCTTAAAAGCATTTTTTAACTGAGTAAAATAAGGTACACCCTGTGTTGTTCAGCTACAGAGCAGATGTGCAAAACATGTATTAATCATGATGCTGGAAAATGACACTTTCCACACCTGGGTAAGCGCAGCCGCTGAGTACTGAGCTCCAGCAAGGACTCGGGCTCTGGGCTGGTACTGTCTGTACAAGGTCAGACTTCTTGCAACAACCCCCACAGTGAACACCCTCCCTGTTTTAACTGTGGGAAACTGAGGCTCAGCTAGGGAGTGGCAGAGCTAGAATCTGAATTCAGGTACACAGGACTCCATATCTGATCCTTAAGAACCAGGTGATGGGGAGACCTCCAGGACTGAAAAGGTGGATATGTCCGGGTCTCAAGTGAAGTCTTTTTTTTTTCTTTTTTAAGTTAAATGCCATAATCAGATTGCCTGTGTGTTGGAAGGTGTGAGTTGGTGTTGTCTGAGATGGTTACCAACCCAGCCTACCATGTCCCTGCCTCATGCAGAGCTAGGAGTCTCTTCTTTAAGGTCAGATACTAACTGGTAACAACATTTCTGTAGCTTGGGTCTCTTCACACAGGCACCTGGTGGGAGGAAAGCAGGAGAAGCAGGATCTCACATCCTATTCAATTCCCCACAATTATTCAGGAAGCTCTAAGCCTTAAAGAGGTAAGAGATATAATGTTGAGCTTAAAATGGCTGTGGATGTAGAAGGGACAAAAATCCAGAAATGAATCATCAAAGTAATTACTGAAATGGAAAACAGGTCCTCAGATAACTGTCCTTCACAGGGAGGGACTCGCTAACAGTCTCTAGGACAAAGCTGCAGGAAATGAGCTGAAATTACAGCCAGCGCAGGTGGAGGAGGGAGAGGCGGCTGGGCTGCCTTTCACAGAACTGTCAGGCCCAGCTTCAGCTTCCCCAGAGAGGCGGCCTGCAGCCCTGGGCAAAGCTCAGTTTTGCCTTATTGTGATTGAGGACAAAGCCTTTTGAAGTGCCTGACCCAAGACAGTTGTATTCTAAGAAAACAGCAAAACAGAACACTTAAATTGCCAAAGAAGAGGCCAAGCAGAGCTGCTCAGAGGGTCCTGAGGGAGGAGGAGGCAGGGACAGAGGATGGAGCTGCCGGGCTAT